GCCTCCGGTCCCCAGTCTCCCCACACACAGCAGGTTCCGGAAACACGTGCGTGGCGTGAGCAGAGCCTGGTGGACACCAGAGGCCAGCGGCGGCCAGCACAGCTCTTCCTCTGCAATGTCCCTTAGAGTTCCATCAGGGCCGGGCCTCAGCCCCTGCCCCCCAAGCCTGGAGGGACTGGAGACCGTCCCTTCCCATCCCGTCCCTTCCCGTCCCGTCCCTTCCCTTCCCGGGGCCTCAGCTTCCTCATCTGTGAGATGGGTGGGGAGGGACACAGGACCAGGCTGTGGAACTCGGGAAAGGCTGTGCCTTAAGTCCTCCCAAAACACGGCTGGTCCCAACCAGCACCCCCATTACCGGCCGGCCCTGGGGAGTCTTGGGGGGCAGAGAAGGGGGAAGACCCACATGCAGCAGCTCAAACAGCTTCCCTTGCAGGCAGCTCCCTGCCTTTACTGGGGGGACGGAGGCCACCCGAAGGTCCCCTGTGAAAGCCACTCCCCCAGCCCCTCCTACCAGCCAAACTTCCCTACCTTCTCCACTGGGGAATAGGGACACCCAGACTCCAAAAGGGACTCTTGTCTCCAGCCTTTACTCTGCCCCAGGGAGAGACCCTCAGAGAGGACAAAGAAGGGAAGACTGAGGCGGGGGTGGGGTGGGACCCTGCCCACTGCTCCTGCCACCTCCCCTCACTGAGCACTCACTTTGGGGGCGAGGTGGGGAGTGCATGTGCCTCGACTCTTGCCTTAGTCTGTGCTTTGAGGGGGCTGTCACCTGTCTTCTCTGCAGGGAGGAAAGCAGGGCTCAGCGGGATCAAGTCGCAGGCTTGGGGTCACACAGCAAGTTAGCAGACAGGCTGGGACTGAGACCCCCGTGAGCAGGTGCCTGAATCGCCTGACCGGCTGACGCCAGGATGCCCGTCCCAGGGCTGGGGCCAGCTTTGAGCTGTGAGCAGCACGCGGAGCCTTCCCCGTCACACTCCCCGGCCCAGCGGGCAGCTCCCTGGGCATCATGGATGGACGATCTGTTCTTCCTCATCTTCAGTGCTCCGAAGCTCAGCCAAGATCCAGGAGCAAAAGGGAGCCAAATTCACACAGGCACCAGCCCAGGCAAGGAGACAGCGGCTCCTCCAGCGCCTCCTCTCAACTTTCCAAGAACCGCCCCCGACACCCCACTCACCTGTGCCCTGCCCGCCCAAGCTCCACGAAAGACGCGGACCTTCCATCGACTGTAACTGACAAATTTATTGGAGTCTTGGAAAGAGCTGATCACCAGAGAATAAATAAAAGACACGGGACATTCACAGAACCAGCAGGTGGCTGGAGGAGATTCAGATCACGGGAATGACTTTCACACGCCGGCCAGCCTCTGCGTTGGGGGCACAGCCCCGGCTGCGCCCAGAAATGTCTTTTGAAAGTATCTGATGGAAGAGGCAGGGAAGGGTCCGAGGAGCCCAGCACTCCCAGCCTTGTCCAGCGGGGGAGACTTTCCAATCCCGGGCAGGCAGAGCCAGCTCAGACAGGGAGGGCAGGCTGTTTGGCAACGACATTCGACATCGGGCATAGCCTGGACACGGAGGGCCTGAGGGTGGCTTGTGACTTGAGCGGAGGGGATGAAACAATCTGGCTGGGCAGGGGAAGCTACTGATGGGCTTAAAGAATTGATCATGGAGAAGGAGGCACCCCAGGAACTTCCGCCTCCTCCACAGGGGTGCTCAAGGAGGACAGCACGGAACGGTCAAGACCCGGGGAGGGGCTCCTGGGGAAGGTGGGGCTGCTGGCAGGGGACCTCCAGAGGTCTGGGGAAAGGAGAGGTCCTCTCCAGGATCTTGTCAGTGACATGGAGGACACAGGTGTGGCATCCCACCATACACCCCACCACCGCCCCCTGCCTGGACAGACAAGGCTGATCTCTGACCTAAAGTGGGGGCCAAGGAGTTAACAACTCAGAGACATACGGAGCTTGCAAAATGAAAGCACAACCATCATTAGTTTTAATGTTAGAAATTAAAGCATTTTCCAGCCTGACGGCTGTGCCAGTCTGGGCCGGGAAGAGGCCCAGCCCAAAGTCCTGGCCTCGGTGGGGGGTGACATTTCATGTCTAGAAACAGCAAGTGCGCAGTTAATTGGTTGATAAAGGGGAGAAATTAGCTTACAAAACAAGTCACCAGTTTACTGGGCGGCCACCAGGCGGGCCGGCCCTGTGTCCGAGGAGAGACTCAGTGAAATCATTCCTCAGCCCGGAGGGGGACAGCTCTAGAGTGGTGCAGCACGAGGCTCCGCAGACACCAGCCTTCCCTGACGTCCTGGTCCTGCTCCCGTCAGAGGGGGGCCGGGACTTTGGGAATGGAGAGCGCAGCCCCGCGCCGGCCAAGACCCTCATGTCCTGTGCTGGGTGGAGCCAGGGGCCTCGGTCAGAACTGAGCATGGTCCACCTCGTCCAGCCAGGAGGCAGGGCTGGCAGGGAAGTCAGGGTAACCCCCGCTGCTTCCCGTGGAAAGGTCGGAGCTGGGTCCGTTCCCCGCCAGCGCCCTCATGGGTGGGGGTCCGCCCGGGGGCCCCGAGGGCACGAGGCCCAAGCCTGTGTCTGGATACACCAAGCTGGAGAGGAGGGGCTGGGGACCGGGAAGGCTCTGTGGGGCGGCCGGGGATGGGGGAACGCCATAGGGGCTGCCAGAGCGCAGCTCTCGGAACTGCTCTTGGCCTGCCAGGCCTCCGTGCTCCAGTGCAAAGCCGCCCAAGGCTCCCGCAGGCCGGCCCAAGGCTGGGGTGGGGTCCCCCAGGCTGGCGTAGAGGCCGCTGGCAGGGCCCATTTCAGCCACGGATGGCTCATCTGCAATGGAAGCAGAGGGCTCTGATCAGTGCCCGCCCCCCTCCACCTGTGGTCCCCCTCAGTGTCCCCTCCAGGAGGTTCAGCGGTCACACAACAGGTCAGCATAGGCCCTTCTGCTCTCGGAACCTATGGCTGCCCTCTGCCCCCCCCCCCTCCATCCCTGAGTTCCTTCTGCTCAGTCCTATTGGGTGTCTAAGGAATGGCGGGACTAGGTATAGCCCAGCCAGGGCCCAGGGTTCCAGGATGGTCCCAAGGCAGCCATGGCACAGATGCCACCAGCCCCATCTTGCAGATGCGGAAATTTAAGCCCAGAGAGCCTGGGTGGGTGAAACGGTTTCTCATACGCACTCCATGAGGATGGGCTGTAAGGGGCGGAGGTGGGACATCCCTGGTGCCAGAAAACGAAATAAACCATCCATCTCACAGAGGATGGTGGAGCCTTGCCTCTTCTCCTCCGGGTAGTCCCTCACCCCCAACTCCAAGGAGCAGGGACTTTTCATCACTTACCCAAAAATGTGCTGTCCATTCTCCTAAAAATCATTGCAAGAGAGATGACCCGGACCCTCTCCCCCTGAGAAAGCCCAGCTTAGGGACAGGTCAGGTCACAGGGGTTCTGACCCCCACCATGGGAAGGGCGGTGGCCCTGAGTGGCAATCGGCAGGGCTTGGGGATGGGGATCAGGGTGGAGCAGTGAGACGCTTCTGGAAGTGAAGCTCGCAAGCCCGGGAACCGGGAGGTCCGGACCTCCAGGCTCCCCGAGCGGCGGAGACCGCCCAGGGCGGCCGGGCTGCGCGGCTGTCGCGCTCGCGTACCGGTGAAGGAGACCTCGGCGTCGCTGTCCTGACCCTCCCGGTTGCTGTCCTTGTCCGACTTGGCGCCGCCGCGGGAGCGCTTCATGTTGCGGAAATACTGTCCCCAGCGCTGCCGCCCCGCGTCCTTCTTGAGCCTCTTTTCCTTGGCCCGGCGGTTCTGGAACCAAACCTGGGGCGCAGGGGGCGCGGGGGGCGCGGTGAGTGGCCGCCGCGGGCCGGGCTCTCGGACACCCCCGGCTTCTGTGGGCGGCTTGGAGGCGTCGGGAGGGAGGCGCGGGGACGCGGGGACGCGGGGACGCGGCGCTGACCTGCACGACGCGCATGTCCAGGCCCGTCTCGGAC